CCCCTGAGCCAGGCCTGGCAACACTTCTTGCATGCGGCCAGCCAGGCTGTGATGCTCCTCCGGCCAACCAAACGCCCTGAGTCTGCACCCCGTGAGCCAGGTTCGTTCGGAACTAGGGAACCAAACGCGCCCTTAAGGTATAAGTAGAGAGGATTCCTATGGTTATGACCCTATGCAAAGCAAGGCTTTTGATTTTAGTGTTCACTTCGAGACGCCGCTTAGACGATAAAGCACCGCTAATAGATAACTCTGCCGACGTGACTACGGTCCTACTAATTTAAGAACCTGCTTAATTCGGCGTGGACTATAAATGGATAGACGGGGCTATCATCTCCCGCTGCTACCACACAACCAAGAAGCAGGAAGCAAACACAAGTAGCTGATAGCCTAAGCACCACGCTTATGCTAATGATTACTACTCTAATCTAGAGATCTAAAAAGGACTAGAGCACTCAAAAGAACTGTGAACCCGTGAACAAGAGAGCATAAAACTTACTTTAAACATAAATTAATTATCAGAGGTATCTCAAATGTAGACTTGGAGAAGCCTAGATCCGTCAAGGTACAAGCCATAGAGGTAGCACCGACAGGCCAGTACCTCCTTCTAACTCCTCCCTCACTCTCTAACTCACTATTTTCTATGTACAAGACTAGATCCTACAGAGGACTAATCTTCTTTGAGAGCTGGCTCTGATCCTGATGAGGAGGATATGAATTAGGGTTTCAGGATGTCTCCAAAGAGGGGGTAGAGGCTGCTATATATAGGCCGGAGTGTCAATCCTGAGCCATCGGATCAAACTGACTTGAATAAACGGTGTAGATATAATATAGGAGGCGGTGGAGAACCGACATAGCAACGGGGGGCTGACAGGTGGGCCCCAGGGTCTGGCCGGCCTGTAGGCCAGCCCCACCTGGCGGTGCCTTACCCTCCGCTTTGGTGTGATGCCTTCTCGAGTCTTCTTCAACCTTCTGGGGTTGTTTTCACTGTGGATAAGCGCAATTAAATCTGACATCTAAGTCCATCTTGACGGTTTTCTAGATAAATTCCACAGAAAACAAAGATTTACCAAAACTCGTGGAATTTATTAGTTTAAACCCCTAGACCTTTATCGGTGATTATATTTATATCCTTATACATGTTATATTATTGGTTTATAATAGTCGTTAACTAACGTCAACTCTGCCCGTGGAAGGATTAAATAAGCCTACGATGGTGGAAAAGTAAAACAGTAACTAACGTGAAACGTCAGATGGCCAGATCGGGCGGCAGAGGATGCAGGTCGGTACTGTAGGGCTGTGCTGTCTCAGGATCTAAGAGTCTTAATAGGTGGCACCCCGCGCTTCGCTGCGGGCAAGGCTGAACTGCAATTTAACTTTTGAATTGGTGAAAACCATACATAACAGGCGCATCATGTTTGGAGGTAGAGCATTCGAACTAAAAGTGGCACTGCATTTTTGCATTCAATGTTGATGCAACTATGATGATACCGAGATAAGTAGAGCTGCATGAAGAAAAAGACCAAATGTCGCGTGGCTGATATTTACATTGTTGGCCGAGTGTTTTTTTTATATAATATAACAGAACCAGCATGTCTTTGTAATGTGTACTATCATAACTACGTAGGAAATTATTACATGGCATAGCCGTATCAAGCAAGAAGGTAGAGGGTCTTCGTTTTTGTTGGAGTAAGCAGTGAAAGCACTCCTTCCTTCAAGCTCCAGTAGTTCAACGTATTATGCCTATATCAGTTGACATGGTCGCATATGGACGACAAAACGAAGATGGATATGTGAGAAGCAGATATATGCACTATATGGGCTAAATAGAGGTAGACATTGTAACAGTTGGGAATGTTGCACACGTACAAAGAGAAGCCTAAAATATAACGGAGGCCCTTTTTTTGCACACGGTCTCGTTGAGAAAATATTGCAGGCTGGCCAACTAACTGATTGAAGGTCCATAAAGAAATAATTAAATGTGCAAAGAATAATGTGAGGAAATAAATGGTCACAAAATCAAGAAGGACAAAAGGAACCAGGATACAATTATTAACCCAAGGGCTGTGTTTGTCATGATATTGTTAAGCCAGTAACATTTTTGGTAAAAAAAATACGCTATCAGTGAACTTGAAGAGCCAAAAGTTAGATGTACTCATTATTTTGCACTACAATTCATTCATAAAGCAAGGATGGGAAGAATGGTACTCATTATTTTGCACTACAATTCATTTTGCACTGTCCATATTTGAAGTATGGAATGTACCAAAATGACATTAAATATTTTCTGAACAAACGGAAAAGTTGCATCCAAGTAATAGGTAAGCCACAACCGAAGGCTGTATTATCCATTTTGCAATGCAGAGCCAAACATTTCAGCAATGTAGAGGCGTGCAACAGTACATGAATGGTGACCTGGATTGGTTGAATCAAAATGGCAGTAGTTAAAACTTGGTTCCAAAATGTTCCCAAGCTTGTCCAGTACTACACAAACTGGGATGAAACAGCAGTTTTAAAATAATGGCTTTAACCAATCCAGTGGGACATGATGAAAAGGTAGTAGAAGCAAAGTAATGTTTTTCGGTCCTAAAGTATGTTTGAATGGTACGGTGACTTGCTTACTTTGGTGTTGTTATTTTTTTAATGCACACAAATAAATCCGCAAGCACACGGATACCGCTGTAGTATTCACCGGGGGTATTTTAGAGTATCGTATTTATCCACGGGAAAACAATGGTTAAAGAAGTCGATAGTTCACCATCATATATCTACTAACTAGTATACCAACTAAACTAAAGTGAGAGTAAGTGATGATAATGATAAGAGTTATGAATAATAACACACACATAAAAGAATTTCATGATAAAATAAATGAGCAGACTAGCTAAGTTGAAAGGACAACGGGTGAGTTCAAGGTTACTAAATACTTCTCTGTTACTTTGGTTCTATAGGGTATAACTAATTCATGGATAGACATAGAGATCACACATAATAACACTTTGGAGCAACATTACATTTCCAACTCTCGAAGGGGGTGAGAAAGCGCAGTTGGGGGAAGGCTGCCTAAAGCTTTATGAAACCAATCCTAACGTGGTGGATTACAACGGCCTAATAGAGCTACCACCACTAGGGCTACCACAACTAACCGTAGGATTGAGCGCAATCTCAGATAACCTATAATCTAGACACCATGTCTATACTACGGATTACTACTCTAGTCACATATGCTAACTAAAGCACTCGAATGCGAGCGGAGATCCCATGCTAAGGTACGATAACTATACTAACCATACACATCAAAGGCATAAAAGTAGATAGAGAAGATAACTATATTAAAGCATAAGTCTTGCAAAGGTGAGTTACAGAGATATACCCAACCTCCGAAGATTTCTCCAAAACCTGAGCATGGCTCAACTCTCCCTAACTCTCAACTAGAGCTATTCTACATCTACATCTTGAGAGCTTTGTAGAGATTTCTCTCTTGTAGTGTATCTTGATCTGAATGAGAGATGACCTCCTGAAGGGGGTAGGAGGCGCCTTATATAGGGGAGATGGAGTAGGGAGCAAGGCATTGCCACGTCATCGATCCGCGTCAACTCCCTCGATCACTGTTGGATGAACCGACTTAAAACCGCCTTAAAATTAATGGTGTAGATCTTGGAAACACATACAAGGCGGTGGAGAGCGAACGGGCTCCGGAGTGGGCCGGGCGGCCTCCCCACTGGGCTGGCCGGCCCACCACTTTGGCAAGTGGGCCTCCCCTTCATGTGGTGGGTCCTGGACTCCGTCTTGAGTTGCCTTTTGTAGTTTTTACGAGTTGAATCACTTGTTGTCATCGGTTTGCTTGTTTGGAGTGTATGACAGTGGTCCCGGAACTGTTTTCTGGATAAATTCCCCTGCATACAAATATTCACCAAAACTTGTGGCATCCATTAGTTTAAATTGCTAGACCTATGTTTGGTGATGGAATTAAGCATATATGTAGGATATGTTGACGGTTTATGATTGACATTAACAACCATCAACAGTTGGACCGTGCATATGTAGAATAACTCCTGCAAGAATATTGCACCAAAAAATTTTACTCACTGTGTGGATAGTACATGATGAAGTTGAAAGCCACCAATCATACGAAGTGACACTAAATCTCACCTATAAATTTTGGGAGGCTGGCTATGATACAAATGCAATGAATTGCGAAGATATGAAGGAGTGCAAAACACATAATCTGGGGAGCAACATCTAGAGAATCCCAGTATGTAATCTTGCAAGCAATAATAACAATGGCTGACAAAAATGACAAAGGCTCCGTCAGATAAGAACACACCATTGCCTAATGTGACCCTATGTACAAAATCCAAATGGGATGATGTACCTTGCTGGCATAAACAGCAAGTCCTTGAGGCTGGAGCTGGACCATTGTGGACTTTCCATTTTGCTCAGTTCGTCCTGTGGACACTTTAGTATAAAAAGATGAATAAATTAAACTGGTCGTAACCTAAACCATGGGTCCAACATCATAGTGAAATAGTAAATAAGCATATCAATATGACAAAGTGTACAAAGAAAATTAGTGTAAGCTAAGCTAAAGCATGGGTCCAAGAGCAAAGTGAAATAAATCCAAGTAAATAAGCATATCAATATGACGAAACATAGAAAGAAAATTAGTGTGAAATATAGATTGAAGAGTTGTACCTTCTCCTACTGCAGTCCGTAATCAATTGAATGGATAGCAAGAGAACTGAGACATAAGACCTGTGACTTCTCTTATTTCAGTCCGAAGACCTGTACCTTCTCCTAATGCAGACCGTAATCAATTGAATCGGGCGGCTGTGCATGAGCACTGGGAACAGTCTGAATTGTAATAGGAACAGGTGAGGAACAACTGGACAAAATCAATCTGAAACCCTAGATCAGAAACCAAATCGATCAGAGACATAAGAACCGAATCGATCTATGGAGGTGAGAGGGGTTGTACCTACGGCACCGTCAGGAGGCCCGCGATGTACTTGAGGACAGCGGTGAAGTATTGGAGGTTGCCGAGGCGGAGGGAGGTGCGTCGGCACAGCCAGCTCCTTGTGCGACGGGAGAGGGAAGGGAGCTAGTCAGTAACGCGGGGCGCAAGCGGGGAAGGAGGGAGAGAGGGAAGGGGGAGAGGACGGACCTTGTGGGCGAAGGCCACGGGGAGGCCTCAGCGGCGGTGGAGACAGAGAAAGCCATGGCGTGGCGACGCGTGGTCGGGCGGGCTGGCGAAGCGTCGAGCACCCTGCTGACGCGACGGGGGTCGGCAGGTCAAGCGAGAGATAGAGAGAGGGAGAGGGATCGGAGATCGGGGCGGGGTGGTGCGGCGCGTGGGCGATGAAGGCGCTGGCGGACCAGGCGAGGCGGTGGCAGATCGGGTGGCAGAGGATATAGGTCGGTCCTGTAGGACTGTGCTGTCTCAGGATCTAAGGATTTGATATGATATGATAACACAACACAACTTACACAATAACTAAATTAAAGCAACAAGTTAATAGCTCACATAATAACACAACTTACACATCCATGAAAAATGTAGTTTTTATAGTTTGACGTGCTATGAATATGCTGTAAATTACATGTTAAATGGACAAGTCGAAATGATATGCATAAGACACGTTACAAATATTCATATTTATTCTCCAATTGCGAGTATCCGTCGAATCTGCAGGTAAAATTTGATACCTGCACCCTACCCATATTTTTGCAGGTACCCGACCCTCATGTACCTGCGGATGAGTTTTCATGCCCATACCCACCCCCACACCCATCGGGTACGAAACCCGCGGGTACCCACGCCCACGGGTACGATTGCCATCCCTATTCGGATAATGTTGTAGCAACTAATATGAGTTTTTTTTAGAAACAACAGCTAATATTAGTTGTATGGATTCAAACTGGCCTATGCATGCTACAACCCAGCTGGCCAGACCAAGGGAGCCCAATCCGTCAATCAGGATTGGAAAAAGTCCACATTACTCTTCTCAACTTTTGCAAAAGTCTGTTTTTCATCCCTAAACTCTAAAACTGGGTAAACGACCTCCCTGAACTTTTAAAACATTCGTTTTACATCCCTGACAGGTTATAAGCAGTTTTCAAAGGCGTCTTTGTCTTTTTCTTTTTTATTTATTTCGGCTGAATTTTTGAAAAAATCATAGTAAATCATAAAAAAATCATAAAATAGAAAATCCAATTTTGTTGGACTCCACATGAATATATCTACATAGTGAACATATAATATGGGATGCTTTAGTACAATTTTTTTTGCTGTAGCTTCATATCTATGCTTTTCTATAATTAATTCATAGTTGCATAGACCATAAAAACTGCAACTATGAATTAATTATAGAAAAGCATAGATCTAAAGCTACATAAAAAAATTATACTAATGCATACCATATTATATGTTCACTGTATAGATTTACTCATGTGGAGTCTAACAAATTTTGATTTTCTATTTTATGATTTTTTGTGATTTACTATAATTTTTTAAAGTTTCGATCGAAATAAATAAAAAAGAAAAGGACAAAACTGACTTTGAAAACCGCTTATAATTGGTCAAGGAGGTGGTTTATCTGGTTTTAAAGTTTAGGGAGGAAAAATAGACTTTTGTAAAAATTGAGGGAGGTAATATAGACTTTTTATCTCGTAAAAACTTCGAGGGGCCCGAACGCCACCTCCAAAACCCTAATCTCCCTCCCACTTGCACAAACTGCCGCGCGGCTTCTAAACACCCGAGTTGCCGCCGCCTACCCTCCTTTCCTCCTCGTCGGCCGTCTACCCGCTCGTTTCAAGCAACCGCTGGCGAAATGGTATGCTTGGTTCCTCTCATACGCTGGTTGTGACCTCATGAGTGTTACCAACAATTGAATGCTTCCTGATTTTTTTAATTTAAAAATAAGCCAGAGTTGACATGGGTCTTTGTGTGAACTGTGTTAGGTTTCGCCGTTGTTTGCTTTAGCAATCCTGTAATTATGATGTGTGAACGGTAAATTTTTGCAGGCCCCCAAGCGTGGCGTCAAGGCACCGGTTCCAGCGAAGAAGAAGCCCGTATGCTACGGATTCTTGGAATCTCTTACCGAGCCTACTTGTTTTTGTTTGTTTGGTTCGTTCTTGGTTTGATCTGGTACATGGGGCTTTTTGTTGGTATATGTGCAGGAGAAAGTGACCAACCCGCTGTTCGAGAAAAAGCCAAAGCAGTTTGGGATCAGGGGCGCGCTGCCGCCGAAGAAGGACCTCCACTGCTTCGTGAAGTGGCCCAAGGTCGTGCGCATCCAGCGCCAGCGCCGCATCCTCAAGCAGTGGCTCAAGGCGCCCCCAGCACTCAACCAGTTCACTCATACCCTTGACAAGAACGTTGGTATACATCTCGTCCATTCACAACCTCTCAATCAAGCTATTATAGGTAGAATTTGCGATGGTTGTTAGTAAAATCACGCTGTCAATTTAGCTACTTGCCAATTTTAGGGACTAATTGCCAATAGGGGATCAGTGGATGTTATAGGTTTGATTGTTTGGGTGGCACCAAGTTCTACTAGTTGTGTAGGGAGCAGTTGTAAAGAAAATGCTGACAGTAGTGCGAAATTGCAGACCTAACTGGATCATAAATCTTAAATAAATACAAATTATATTATATGGTTTTTGGCTGAAAGATCTAGTATGCTAAAATGGTTTCATTTTCTTGTACACAAGTTCCACTTAGCTCATGCTTACCTGGTTGCTACTCCCTGTGGAAATGAGTAGAACGAGTTACCTTCTCCTGGTACTCGGTTACATGTTAATATAGTTCAGGAAGCCCCTGATGGCTTGTACAACAAGAAGATTACAACAAGATAGATTTACACGGAGTAACAAACTCCCTCAAGCCAAGATACGCCTAGACACATGCTATGCGCTAGGTACTTGCTAACAGCCATGTAACACGATAACAACCTTATCATCTACAACCCCCCCTCTCAATCTCAGCCACTTACAAGGTTGAGATTGACTCTAAAATCTTTCATCTTGGCGGTGCTAAGAGGTTTCGTGAATCTGTCTGCAAGCTGATCACCTCAAGGAATGAACCTTATATCAAGTAGCTTCTGTGCTACTTGTTCTCGAACGAAATGAAAATCTATCTCAATATGCTTGGTTCTAGCATGGAAACCCGGATTTTGTGACAAGTATGTTGCACCAATATTGTCACACCACAACCGAGCAACTTGAGAGTGAGGAACCTTCAGTTCTGTGAGCAGCTTTTGAATCCACATCATCTCTGCGGTAGCGGTAGCCAGTGCCTTGTACTAAGCTTCGGTGCTAGATCTGGAGACCGTAGCTTGCTTTCTAGCAGTCCATGAGATCAAGTTTGGCCCAAGGAACACGGCGAACCCACCAGTAGATCTTCTATCATCTATATCTCCTGCCCAATCGGCATCAGAAAAGGCAATGACTAACATGGAATTTGATCTTCTAATTTGCAACCCAAGATTCAAAGTACCATGTATATTCCGCAATATTCTTTTAACAGCACTCCAGTGTACTGTAGTTGGCGCATGCAGAAATTGACATACCTTGTTGACAACAAAGGAAATGTCTGGACGCGTGAGTGTAAGATATTGCAAAGCACCCACAATACTTCTGTACCTTGATGCATCATCAGGCCCGAGACCAACCCCTTCTGTAGCACTTAGTTTCTCTATTACAGACAAGGGAGTATCAACCGATTTACTTTTCTCCATGCCAGCACGCTTCACGACATCAGCAGCGTACCGTTCTTGTGACATAATCAGACCCTCCTTAGATCTTTTCACCTCTATCCCAAGGATTGCCACAACAATATCATCAACGTACACCAGCACGAACAAAGTGTGTTTCCTTTGTTGTAGTAGAAGAGCGATGTATCAGCCTTTGAAGGTGTGAATCCTAACTCTACAAGCTTGCTGCACAGCCGACAATACCATGCACGAGGAGCTTGTTTGAGTCCATATGCCTTGTCCAACTTGCATACATAGTCTGGTTTCTTCTTATCTTTATATCCTGGTGGTTGATGCATATACACTTTCTCTTCTAGCACACCATGAAGGAAAGCATTTTGTACATCAAGTTGAAGCAATGACCAACCTTTAGACACCGCAATGGACAGGATGAGCCGAATTGTAGCAGCTTTGACTACAGGACTAAACGTGTCCTCATAATCAAGTCCATATCGCTGCTTGTAGCCCTTCGCCACGAGCCGTGCCTTGTATCTATCAATAGTACCATCAGCCTTTTTCTTTACTTTATAAACCCACTTACATCCAATGATGTTTTCCCCTTTTGGAGGTGGTACTAGATGCCAAGTCTTGTTGCGCACCAACGCACCGGACTCATTGTTCATGGCCGCCACCCATCTTTTGTCTCCAAATGCTTCAACAACAGTAGTTGGCTCCTCTGCAGCACATGTACCAACCATACACCACCGAACTGTATCATCAGTATGTATTTTCGGTTTACGTATACCTTGCTGGAGTCTGGTAGAAGGACGATGCCGAATATCCGAGGAAGAAATGTCCGGTGCGATAGAGTTACCAGCTGGACCAGATCCAGGCGCATCAACCTGGGAAGGTGCCCCCCCTCGCTTGGATCAAGCTGCGTCACCATATCGGCCACACCCAACTCCAAAGACGTGGACGGAGGTGATCTCGACGCAGAAGATCCTGTCCTCGACATAGCAGGGGAGGAAGACGCCATTGCCGTGGATCCCGAAGACGATCCCGACAGCGACGCTGCGCCTAACGCCGACGCAGTAGGTGGATCAGCACCGGATCACGCGCCAGTGGTGTTTCCCGATGGGGGGCACATGAAATAATGATGATTATCGCGCGTTTCTTCACCGGACTTAGCCACGTTTGTTCCTGTAACATCACCAACAACTGGAGAACTAGGTGAAGCATTAGTAGGCACAAAATTAGTCACCGTTTGATCAAGCAACGATGCATCCCCAAAACTAGTAGAGGGATTAAGGACATCGGGAAGAAGTGCCAACTCCGAACGGAGCCAGGCACCAGCATTGGGATGGAGGGAGGCAAAGGGTAAAATTGATTCATCGAACACCACATCCCTGGAAACATACACGCCCTTCCGAGGGATCCAAACATTTGAACCCTTTATGAAGATTACTATTGAAAGGATCAAGATGCCCAAGAGGGGGGGTGAATTAGGCTAATTCTAAATTTCTTTGCAATAATTAAATCCTATGGTTAGCCCAATTAACCCCTTGTGCCTAGAAAGTGTTTCTAGTTGTTCTACCGCACAAAAGACTTGCAATCTAAGTTCCAATCCTACTCTAGCATGGCAATTCTATGAATCTAAAAACAAGAATTGAATTGCTCAAAGTAAATGCTCAAAGTAAATAGAGAAGGAGGAACGCGGCGATGTTTTGCCGAGGTATCGGAGAGTCGCCACTCCCCACTAGTCCTCGTTGGAGCACCCGCGCAAGGGTGTAGCTCCCCCTTGATCCGCGCAAGGATCAAGTGCTCTCTATGGGTTGATTCTTCGATACTCCGTCGTAGTGAATCACCCACAACCGCTCACAATGTGAGTTGGGTCATCCACAAGCTCTCCGGATGATCACCAACCTCCCAATCACCACCAAGCCGTCTAGGTGATGGCAATCACCAAGAGTAACAAGCACGAACTCTCACTTGACCACGACAAGCCTAATGAGAAGGGTGGATGCACACTTTGCTACTCTTGATCTCACTAATGAGGGCTCTCTTTGGGATTCTCAAATCTCAATCACCTCACTAGGACCTTGCTCTTCTTGGCACTCTCTAAGGTGTTTCTCAGCTGTTGGAATGAGAAAAAGTACCCCCCACACACGAGTGGAGGTTGTATTTATAACACCGGCTGAAAAACGAACCGTTATGTGCCTCTGCAGGGTGACCGGACGCTCTGATCATGTTGACCGAACTCTAGTGTTTATAGTGTGACCGGACGCTGGCTAGTGTTTATAGTGACCGGACGCGCCCAGTCATGATTTTCCCTCTCTAGAACCTTACTGGAGTCGACCGGACGTAGGCTCTTAGCGTCCGGTCACTTCACCTCTCAGCGTTCGGTCAAACTTGACGCAATCACCTTGGTCAAATGAACTGACCGGACCCTGATCCAACGTCCGGTCACACCGGAGCCAGCGTCCGGTCAGTATTTGACCGTCCATTCACTTTCAACTCTCGATCATATGTGAATGAAGTTTGCTCCATTGGATCTAAGGGCTATTTTGGAGCTACCTAGTGCTAGTTTGAACAAGTGTGCACCACACCTAACTCACTAGACTCACCTAGGTCAAGCTACCCGTTCCATACCCCCCTTAATAGTATGGCCAAAGGAAAAACAAAGTCCTAAACTACTCTAAGTGTCTCTCCAACTCCAATCGACACTTAGAACTAGTCCATCCGTAACCTTGTCGTCCATCCTTTAAAAACCGAAATGATTTCCATCGTAGGGGCATGACCACCTTGATTGCCAAATCGATCTCCATTACCATGACCTAACTTAATTGCCTCTATAAAACACACGTTAGTCATAGTAATCTCGTATTGGCATTAATCACCGAAACCCAACTAGGGGCCTAGATGCTTTCAATCTCTCCCTTTTTGGTGATTGATGACAATACCACCTCGAGTATGTGAAAGAGTTGAGGTTTTTAACATGCTTGGATCATATAAGCTTTTGTCAATAAGAACAAAAGAGTTAGGCAAGCTTATATGACCCAAGCCAACATGATGTACTCAAAAGATATGAAATAAGCATGAGTACAAGTAATAAAGCTCATTTGCATCGGAGTAAAACGCGGAAGCAAGGACAAATGAGCATAGCACAAGCGATATGACATACAAATGATTCAAAGTAGAGAGCACACATGTCATATATCACGATCACGTAGATATCACTATCACATAGATATAGTTTAATGCATAAATGTAAACACATGATGAATGCATAATAGTGTATCACACATAAAAACTCTAAATGTAATATATAAGCTAATATAATAACTAAGCTCCCCCTAAATATGTCGCTCCCCCTAAGGCTAACATACTCGAACCCTCTCCCCCTTTGGCGTCAAACACCAAAACCTAAGGGTTGGTCGGCGGGGCTACAGCGGATGAGTCGAGCCGGGCACTGAGGTACGAGGAGCGAGCTGGAACTAGGTGCCATCATCATCTGACCCTGAGCTCTGAGCTATCTAATAGGAAGTGATGCTGAAGCGGTCTGGGTCGGATCAGGGACTGGAGCTGCTATAGGCTGTGCTGATACGACTGAAGCAGCTGGCTCTGATGATGCCACTGAGGAAGGGAGCGTCTCTGTCATGCCTGTCACTGGAGCAATGGTGGTAGGTATAGGGACATGTAGGTCTGGCGGTGTAGGGTGCCCTGTCAACTCACTGAAGGATGCACCAAGGCTCCTAG